GATCTCCAAAGGTGAGGAGCAGATCCAAAGTCAGTTCGAGCCGGAGAGCAACGAGCTGGTGGGGTTCGGCAAGCATGGGGATATGACCTATGCCCAGGTGATGGAACAACATCCCTCATACATCCAGTGGGTGATCACGACAGCCCGAGAGTCAGATTCTCCGCATTGGAGGCTCAAGCGGTTGGCACAATGGTCAAGTCAACAGCGCAGCTCTCAGGCAGTGAATCGCAGCTCAAAGACTCAGCCCTGCAACACCAAGGGCAACAGTTCCGTGGGCAGTTTCTCAATGGTCGACTCGATAGACATCAGCACTCCGCCCTCCAGCAAGGGATACAAAGAGCAAGATGTTCAGAAGGAGTTGGCTCAGATCGAAACGATGAAGCAGGAACTGGCAGAGAAGATGAAAGCAGTGCAGGACAAGGAGATTGCACTGGAGGTGGAGAAAGCAGAGCTGAGCTACCCCTCGGGTCGTCACAAGAACCGGAAGGAGACCTGAGTGAAGGAGAGATTTTTCTCCAGCCACTTCCAGAAGAAACGGCTCTTCAGCTCGCTCGAACATGGCACATACAAAAGAATCCTTTCAGTAAGACATGGCAAGCACTTGTTTGGACCAAGAGACCTTTACTTGTTGAGCTGGCATGTTTTTCGGATAGTCGTTTGAGCAGTGAAGTCGAACGTCGTTTTGGGAAGGGGGCCGCAATTCGTTTAGCAGAGTGGAACGGTGCAGACCTGGAGACAAAAGCCGGTGTACAGTTAGCCATGCAGAAGATAAGGAAGTTAAGACCAGTGCACTTGTGGATCTCCACAGAATGTGGGCCTTTTTGTCCTCTTCAACGGCTAAACCGAAGAACCCCTGAACAGTGCAAGAACCTTCAGGAGAAACAAGACAAGGTTAAGCTTCAATACCAGGGTGCTCTACGAGTTGCTGAACAGGGTTGGCAGGTTGGAACACAAGTGCATTGGGAGTGGGCTCAAAAGAGCGAGGCATGGTCATGGTCATTGGATTTTTTTCAAGACTATGAACACCAGCACAGTCTCAAAAGAGTGGACTGCAATGGTTGCACCGTGGAGTTGCGGACCAGAGATGGCAAGCAAGCATTGTGCAAAGCATGGAGAGTTAGTACAAGATATTAACCACTTCTCAAACACTTGGACTTACGTTGCCAACAAAACCACCCAAAAGGCAAATGCGAGAGTGGTGAAGCAGCGCACACAGCACGATACACCGAGCCGTTCGTGCGCAAAGTCGTTGATGCATTGACTGAGTGTGAAACCTGGTCCAGGCTGGTGGGGGAGTTTGACAAGAAGGAGACCGTAGAAGTAGCCCAGGCAGCAGGACAAGTGAGGGCTGTGGCAGAAGGTGAGATTCTTACCGAAGAAGAGAAACAGCAGGTGATCGCCAAGATACAACACATCCACAGAAGTACAGGCCATGGTAGTATACACAACTTGGTAAAGGCACTAGAAGATCGAGGATGTCACCCACATGTTGTGCGTATTGCTCGGGAGTGGAAATGCAGTGTTTGTGATCATCGCAAGAGAAGAGACCCAAGACGTTTTGCAACATTGGAAACAATACCTCAGAAGTGGGAAAGAGTTCAGCTTGACTTTGCCACATGGATGCATCCAAGGACAAAGATCAAATATCACATCCTGGTGATCATCGACGAAGCAACGAGGTTTCGCATGGCAAGAGTCACAGCAGAGGGGAAGGGAAACACCACCAAATGGGACAACATCCGAGAGGTCCTTGAGCAACAATGGTTTTCAATTTTTGGATGGCCACAAGTGTTGAGGACAGACAGTGCAGGCCCATGGTGTTCCGATGAAGCAGACAGATATTGTGCAGACAAGGGCATTGAACTGATTCCCATACCTGGAGAGGCTCATTGGCAGGCAAGCATTGTTGAGGGAGCTATCAAAAGCTTGAAGGGCATGCTAGAAACCTTGAGTCGTGAATTTGCAGAGATCGAGGTGACCGAGTTGTTGGCTAGAAGTGTTTGGGTTTGCAATAGTGAGGAACAGTACAAGGGTTACACTCCCATTCAGCAAGTGTTGGGGAGAGCACCAGACAGTACAGGACGCCTGTTTGAGAGTGAGGATACAAGACCGATACATCCTGGACTTCTCGATGATGGGGGGTTCAAAGAAGACGTAAAGATGAGATGTGCAGCCACAAAAGCCTTTGCAGAAGAACAAGCAAAGAGAAGGTTGGACAAGGCCGAACGAATGGGACATCGTTCTCAACAACAGTTCCTACCAGGAGACCTTGTTTATTACTGGAGGCAACAGGTTCCAGCAAAGGAGCGAACAACACAACAGGCAGGACAGTTCATTGGACCAGCTCGTGTATTGGCTACAGAAACACGCCGAGATCCCAACCAGGAGTTACGACCAGGAACCATTGTGTGGATTCATCGGGGTGGTAGATTGTTGCGAGCAGTCCCGGAACAGCTGAGGAAGGCTTCACCCTATGAATTGCAGCTGGAGGAGTTGCGAGGACCAGTGGAGCTTCCATGGACCATAACTGCATTAGCAACTGATCCTGGGAGACGTACATACATTGACATCTCTCATGAACAACCAACCGATGAGCAATGGGAAGAGGCCAAAGATACACCCACCAAGAGGGAACATCACGGAGATCTTGCACCCCACAAGCGACACCGAAGCAAACTACCAGTTCATCCACAAGGGCAGAAACGTCAAGAACGTGAGACAGAAGAAACAGAGGGTAGTTCAAGTTCCAGCAGAGCAAGGAGGGAAGAGGATGACATGTTAGCAGCTTTTTGTGCATGTGAAGACAACCTACAGGCTATGGAGATTGCCATAGATCTTCCCACTTCCAAAAGGGGACTCAAAAGATTCTTCAACAATCCAGAGGCCTATGTGTGCAATATGTTGAAGAAGAGACAGGTTGAGGTGCATGAGAAAAGGCTGTCACCTGAGGAGTTGAAGAAGTTTGTTGAAGCCAAGATGACAGAAGTCCGCAATTTCCTGGCTTCCGAATGCTTTGAACTCGCCAAGGACAAGATCCCAGAGGAGAAGAAGGTCGTGGGAATGAGATGGTTGCTAAGCTGGAAGTACGGCGACCAATACGAGGGGGGTAAGAAGGCGAAAGCCAGGGCAATCGTTCTGGGTTACCAGGACCCCAGATATTCAGAACGACAGACAGCAGCACCAACTCCTTCTCGTGCAGGCCGCCAGTTATATCTCCAATACTGTGCTTGGAAAGGGTTCAAGATAGAAAAGGGAGATATTTCAGGTGCCTTCTTACAGGGCGATCTTTTGGATGAACTTTGGTGCAGACCACTGAAGGAGATTACAGATCATTTGGGCATCGCAGAGGGAACTCCAATGTTGATGCGTCGGGCAGCATACGGATTGGTACAAGCACCACTTCATTGGCATCAAAGCATCAACAAATACCTGACTCAACAAGGGTACAAACAACTCACACTGGAACCATGTTGTTGGGTGTGGATTGACCAGTCAGGTGAGGTTCAGAGCATTGTCCATGCACATGTGGATGATTTTCTATTTGGCGGTAAGCAGAACAATGACATTCACCAACAGCTGATGAGCAACATACGAGAAGCTTTCAAGTGGGGCACTTGGGAATCTCACAAGTTCATACAGTGTGGTGTTGAAGTAAGCCAACTAGATGATGGGTCCATAGAATTGAGACAGAACCAGTTCATTTCAGAATTGGAAGAGATAAAGATCACTCGAGAGAGGAGCCGACAAACAGAACTTCCTACCACAGAGGCAGAGAGATCACAGTTGAGAGGAGCACTTGGGTCATTGTCTTGGGTGACAGGGCAGACTTGTTTCATTTACGCAGTTGATGTTAACATCTTGCTCACACAGATACCCAACAGTACAGTTCAAGTGATCAATACCACCAACAAGTTGATACGGGATATCAAGAAGGTCAAAGATCAGCCATACTTGATCCATGCATTTGCTGAAAGTGAAGAGTTGGAACTGGTAGGATGGTCAGATGCAGCACATGCCAACAGACCAAACAATGTGGATTCCACCGAGTGAATATTCATTGGGATGTCCAACAAACGTCTTCGAAGTGGAGAGGAAGCTCCGGTGACACCAATCCATTGGCGCTCCGGAAAGATCGAAAGGATATGTCGTTCCCCCGCAGCAGCGGAGACTATGGCAGCACTAGACACCGAAGATGATTTGACCTACTTGAGGCTCTTGTGGAATGAAATGAAAGGATTGACCATCAATACATACAATATTGATGATTCAGTGAAAGCCACAGGAGCAGTATTAATTGTGGATGCCCGCAATCTATACGACAAGTTGGTTCGTGCGACACCATGTGTCAAAGGTGCTGAGAAACGTTCAACCATAGAATCCATTGGACTTCGACAAAACCTCGAAAGAGGACAGACAGAAGTCAGATGGGTCGATGGGGGTGGAATGCTCGCAAACGTGCTCACTAAGGTACAGGAGAAAGTTCAGGGATGGTTGTTCATGCAGCTGGGATTTCGTTGGAAGATAGTCCATGACGACCTACATGCATCACAACGGAAGAGGCGAGCAGCCGGACTCGATCTCGTTGACATACAACACAAAGTGCACACACAGCAACAGCAACAACAACAACAACAAGCTCAGCAACAACAACAACAACAACAACAACAGTGACTACCAAAATAGTGGCGACTCCCCAAAGAACAAGTTCCGTAGTTGAAGGAATAGGGGGGTGTGCAAAACGCACAGCATTTTACCCTACTCCACTTTGTCTTTAGGACCGAGACGCCCCTAGGCAGGTGAAAGATAGGGTTCGTTGCTGCCATCGCAATTTCATATATATATATATATACATGAAGAAGCGGCTTTGTATTTTGTAAAATGACAGTTTAAAGGCCAGTCAACGAAGAAATGGGCAACTACTTCGAAACTACGTGTGTGTATATATATATATACAGTATATTTCACTGCGCCGTCTGTACTGTGAAACTTAAGCTCCGCACATAGTATCTGTAGGGTAGCTGAGTCTTCACCTTTCAAAAACTATTCACTGTACCAGTTCAACTTGCTCTTGTGACTCATGTGACTGCTTCCGTCTTCCTTGGGATGGTACTGAAGTCAGTTTGTTGACTTTGAGCTCAACCCTGTTGCCCTCCAAGCTGGAAAAACAACCGAATGCCACATTTGCAAGAATCATTCACAGCACGCTGCGAGTTCGGTCTGTGAGCTTTAGTTGTGCATGCTGTATTACATGTCGCTATGGCACTGACGTCCAGATATTCTGTCGGCGCTACTCCAGGCAAGTAGAAAGCATTGACCTTCAAATCACAAGCTGGCAAGTCTTTAGACTGAACTGGTGACAATTTGCCAACCTCAGCAAGTAGCAATAGGAGAGGCCAACCAACCATGCCTGCCAGCTTCAAAAACTAGAAAGCTCTCAACTCTCAACAGCAGCCCTACATTTTACAGACCTGGCCTCAATCAGCCTCAAGACTGAAGTCTGCAATCACCCTAGAAATACACAAATGATGTGATCCCTGATTGCAGCTTGAGAGGCTCTTTGGCATTGTGTGCATTGTGTGCCAAGAAAACTGTGTCCCTATACATGTCTCATCTTGGATTTTTCTTGCACAGGCTGTTGCGTCTAAAGCTACGGCTCCGCTTCAAAGCATATTCATCCTGTTGGGCTTCAAATCTGATTGCTTAAGAGCTTTTGCTCTTTGCGTGTATCGCGCTGGATAAACGTTGCGGAACAGGCGAGTTTCAAGTGAATCAATTCAGAGGGTTTTTCAAGGTCGCAGGACCTTCCTTGAAGAACCCGCCAGTCGCTCCCCGGTCTCGCCCCCTAAATCGAATCAAAAGGGAGAAAACAGAGAGAAAACAAAAACCGAATCTTTCTGTACTCTGTGGAGAGAAAATCAATCCTGGAGCAGTCGCAACTTCACATTCGCCAGGATGCATGCAAAATGGACGAATTTCTGATCTCACTCTGGGCAGCATCCAAGTAAAGAGGAAGAGAACTGTGAATGGATTTGAGATCATGTTGCAAGATCAGCGACATTCACAGCCAGCGAAACGCGCGGCTAGATTCATCAACAAGGAGCACACATTGTTGCCTAAGCAGGATGCCAACAGCATGCACGCGATTGAGTTGGATCTGCCACTCAAGTTTTGTATGCGATGCTCGTTCGTGAAGATGCTGCACCTTTCTGAAATTCACTTTGATTGATTGTGCCTGAACATGGGAAACAACGACAACGTGCACGGCTGGATCATAAGCAGCCTGCTGCTCATTAACTTGTCAAACTTGGAACCAGCAGAGGATGGTGAGAACTTTGTGATCTGGCAGTGCACACGCAAGACCTTGCGGCTGTGCATTCTAGCCATGCAGAGAAGAAGGAAGTAGTCAGTCAAAACGAAGCATCCATTGGACAGGTTGTCCGAAAAGGAATCTATACAGTCTATACACAACAAAGCTGCTTGTCAGGAATACACCCTTCTTCGTCGGTACTAGGTGCAAAAGGTGCTGTCAAAGTCGTGGCTAAATTGTGCCACTCTGTCAGTTCTGAAAATGCATCGAAAAAGTTGTCCGCGCAAGACCGAGGATTGTCTCATTACTTCCAAACCACAGTAAGTGGTAGCAAACTTGCACAAAAGGGTGGAGGTGTTGATGCAATCCTCCTTGCACACTGCTGAACATGCGCCCAGCCATCTCCACAAGCTCCAGATGCAGTCAATGTTCTACCGGTTCTACCTGGCGAACAAAGCTTAGAGATGGATCTTCCATGCAGCGGTACCGTCACTACATTCTACATTGAGAGCATGAAAAGAAACCAGCAAGAGAGGCAAGAGATCACAAGAGTGAAGACAGGTTCAGCACAGTCTCTGGATCCTTGGCCTCAAAGAACGAGATAAAGACACTACACGCACAAGGACAAATCAAATTCTCACATGGTAGTCTTCCCAAAAAGGTGTGCACTCTGTTATGTCTGCTTGTTTTGATGTGCCTGTTGACCCGCCCTATCTTGGTAAGAGGCCGTTTTAGGTGTGATGACGCCGAGCCGCATCATGGCAACCTTTCATGCACACACCAAGACCCACACAAGCAGTGAACTAAAAGCTCCACGTTAGCTTCCAGTGCCTTGGCCTTTTTTCTTGCTTTTAGCTCACCTGTGCCGACTTGTGGCACCACATATTTGACAGCAACAAATCGCACAAGGAGTGCAACTGAAAGAGTCATGCTGCTTGCTGCACTTCCCAGGCACAGGCTGTTTGCCACTCCAAGAGAGGTCTGTCTCTGGTTGCCTTCATCCACAAAAGCTGAACTAGCCTTCGGGACAAAGGTGGCAGTAGCTGCAGTTGTCCTGACCAAAGCACAGCTTGCGACCTACCAATCACTCTGTGTGTGTGTGTGTCGGCTGTCCTTGTTTTGACAGCTTCCAGGCTTCCAAAACCACCTCAAACTCTGTAAGAGTCTGCTACGTTCCTCCACCATGTCTCTTGGGGTTTCCACGCTCGTTACAGTTTCCAGAACCGATTTCCACTTCAATTATCTTCTTGCATGAGAAGCAACTGTTGTGGTGACCACCCGGTCATTAAAAAACTCAGGGTGGCACGCGCATGGCTTGCAGGCTCCTGTAGCAAGAGACTTGTACAGTTCCGAGTGAATGGATCCAGAGGAGGGCCTGTTCCATGCAAAGCCGAGCCCTGGCTAATCTGCTCCGAAGTGGGAAGCGGTGCCTCCAACTTGTGGGGTGCACTGATGTCTGTAGAGGGGTAACACACTGGAAATCAAGCCTCAAATTGGTCGTACGACATATCCATCCTGGCCAAACAAATCACTTCTGAGCATGTGCTTTCTTCAACATGTGCGAAGACTCAAATGTAAAACGCCAAGGGCCAAGCTTCATTGCAAGCCAAGGATTCCATTCACCAAGGGAGCTCCAGGCCTTCCAAACTCCGACAAGCCATGCATTTTGCCAGCAAACATCTGAGCATCTGAGCTACCCACATCTGCATCACTAGCACACTGATTGAACATCCACTCCTGAACACTGTAAGACTCTAGTAAAAATAACATTCAATCAGTCAATCAGTGGACCAAACAAATCATGAATATCTATAGTATTCAGTATTTATCTATCAACTGTACACTACATGCATCCATGTATTGTGGATCCTTAATCAACCTGACCTTTCGGGCAAACATTGAAATCAGTTCTTCCAATTCCAAGCAATCACTGGTCCTTTGAAACTGAGCCCAGGGCTGGAGGAGTGAAAGACTGTTCTTGATCCGGTGTATCATATTCTCCTTGTTCCTCTTCTTCATCTTCATACCTCCCGTAGCTACAAGAGAGAGCGGAGAGATAGATACATTTGATATGTACATAGTGTGTATATATATATAGATAGATATGGTTATATATATAAGTGATTATATAATATATATATATTAACAGAGACAAAGACCAAACCGTCACATATATCACAAGCAAAGCAGCTCCTTCTCAAACTTTGGGCTCACTGAGTGATCTGCACAGGCGAGTGATCTAGGCCTCAGCCGTTGTTAGGCTACTGCCTCGCTAACGAATATAATTCAAAATGAACCCAACTGTGAGGCACTTCATTCTACAGTTGTGAGAATGCAACGAAGGACATGGCACGTGCGCAACCCATACTTTGAGCAATTGGGTTATGTTACGTTGTTATGTTGCCTTCTGGCAACACTTCTGAAGCCAATGCAGAATCCTTGGCCCTCTGCGCAGCAGCTTCACGGGTAGCTCTAGGTTCACAGGCTGCAATGCGAGAAGCAAAATGACCATGTGAGTGTGGAAATCCAGACGAGAATCCAATCCGCTATCAAATGAAACAAAAAGCTGTCAAATTTCCACATGCCAAATGGTCCACTCTTAATATATACATATATATATATATACTGTATATATGATAGGAAACATATATACACGTCACTGTCACGTGAAATTTGTTCAATTGTGATGCTGCGTTACCCCACTCTGTGGACATTCCTGAATGCAAGTGAAAAACAGCAATCAAAGTATGCGGTTGGCGCACCGTTGTGGGAGAAAGGGTTGGACTGCCAGACACTTTGGGGTTTGGCAGCGGTGAGGAAGCCTGGCTGCATCATCAAGATGCTACAAATTCGAGTCGTATAAATGTGTGTTTGTCACTTTGCTGGTCAAAAAACGTGGAAGAATAAGGGCAGCACTTCCACTTTGATCGGCTCACTCCACGATTCCGTTGTCTCCTCACCATCGCTACCCTGCAATGCAGAATGAAAACTCACAAGTGCATGGCATCAGTTCCAAAGTTTCAAAAGGCGGCTGTCTGTCTGGCCTGATCGGGCATCCCCAGGAAATCCATAGGTTTTTGCAAACGCCTGAGAGAAATATGCACAAGTATGTGCAAAAACACTCAGCTGTGTTGTAGTGCATTCATTTGGTACAGCACAAACAGCTAAGTTCGGAGCTATGGTCCTACGCTACCACTGGGTGCAAGCCAACTAGAGCTATGCCAGCAGTGGCGGCGGTTGTAGTAGTCAAAACACTGCTTGGCTGGACTGGCTCTAGGAACCCAGTAAGTTCGCGCAAACCCTCAGCACATGTAGTCTCACACACGCACCGCACATGCAAACTCCACGGCAGCTGCAAGCTGTGTTTTAAAAGAAATGAATGACAACATGCAGAGTCGCCGCGCACATTCAATACAGTTGGAAGGCAGCACATTGCCCACCATAGACAAAAATTGAAATGCATGACCCGAATCGTTGTGAAGTTCTGAAGCTGTGAGGTTTCGCGTCTTCGGGTGAACCACTGAAGCTCTTGAAACTCCGCATCTTCGCATCTTCGGGTGAATATTTAAAGTTTGGCGTCTCTGAAGTTCTGAAGCTCTGCGTCTTCAGCGGAATGTTTGAATTTCACCTTCGTACCCCCCTTAAGCCCCCCTTCTGAAGGTCGCAGGCCCCATATGCAGGTGCTATAGGTCTGCGGTCTGCATATGAATGTTTTTCTGTCTTTTCTGTCCTTTGCTGCTCGCATGCTCCGCCTCCCAGTCCAAAATCGTTCAGATGCTGCCCATGTCAATTTGTCTTGGAACACATGTGTCTTGCAAACTTTACAGGACCCTGTGGCTCCAATCAAGCCTGTCTGCCTGAATGTTCGATGTTCTGTCATGTATTTTTCTATGGCTCCTGCCTTGTGTAGGGACCATGTGGGTGGTACTTGGAATTTTTTTGGTTCCAAGGTCATGCACATACATGTGGATAAATTATTCCTGGGTGTTGGAATAATTTGTGAAAAGCATGAGGGTCGTATGTTGGAAAATGCAACGAATTCCAAGTCGATCTGTGAAGTCTCTGTGCACTCCTTTAAAAAAAATGTATTTTGGGGTAGGCAGAGGTTGGTCTGGATTGTTGTTCCATGGTACCCCCTAGTCCCTAGTCTGTGTGCTCCATGGTCAAAACAAATTGCCAGGAGTTGTTTTTCAAAATTGTTCCTGGAAAGTTGTTCTTGGGGGTTACCCG